AGGGCTCGCTGAGCAGCGCTTCCATTTGACTCCTATAATACTCCTCATCTTCACTGTCGCTGGCCTCAGCAATTGCCTTCCCTTTTCCCGATCTTTCACTATATTTTTGGATATTCTCCTTCCATTTCTGCCCTTTCTGACCAGTTGCAAGTTCTGGATGTTGCTTGAAGCATTTTTTGTTAGTATGTATATGCTTACATCTCTTGCACCTGGCGTCGGGATTTGGTGATGATTTTGGTTTGGCTGCAGAAGCGCTGTGGATGGGTTCATAGGTGTTGATTTGCCTATGATTGTTTGCAGCGACAGTGCGAAGTGATGACATCATTGACCTTAGGGATGTCGGTCTGTCTGAAGCATCGATGGCTTTGTTGTCTCTCCAGGATCTTAACCAGGGGACGTGAATAGTCCCGACTAAAAAGAATCCCGCAGCTGCGGCCTCAGAAATGGCCCATTCGGTTGGTTTGTCATCGGACATACTAAGGGCTTCAGCTGTGGTGATTATATTCTGGTAAGCAGTCTGGAATTCGTTGCAGTACCGCTCTATTGAGTCGGTGAACTTGGCTGCTTGGAATTGTCGGAGCGCATCGATGTAGGTGGCCGAGGACGTTTCTCTTCTAGGCGAAGAGACGCTGTCGTACAGGGCTTTGGCGGAAAGTCTTATGTGGTCCCTGGGCCAGACTTTCTCGCTGAGACGTTCGAGGATTATATTCCTCGCCTCTGTCTCATGGTTCTTCCATGTCAAGACTGCTCTTCGGTGAGTCCTCCATATCTCCTCCCAGGCATCATTTGTTATTTGGTCTTCACGTTTTGGTTCGCTTGGTCGAAAGATGGGATCAACGTCGGGATCATCGTGGATGACGTGGCCGGTGAGGTCGCGTTTGGCCAATCGTGCCCGAAGTGATGCGTCCCATCGGCTGAAAGAATCTGTTTCGCCGAGGATAACGAGTGAAGTGTTTTTGGACATGTTTAGCTCGTGTGCAGAGGAAAACGCCGGGGTCATAACCTGTTATGAATGATGAGCACTGGAGATATTCTTGGGATAGACTTAGAGACAGTTGTGATATAATGCTAGAGAACTGAGTTGTAGACTTTAGAAGGGATTATTATTTGCTAAAGTATAATGGATAAAGTGTGTGATCTATGTTGGACACTTTTGGGGGCAGTGCCTGACCACCTGTCTAAATACATGAGAAGCTGGTCCGTGCACTGCTATCACTTCTCAACATCCTGATCCTCAACAGATCTCTACAACCACTACGTAGCTTACCTCAATTGTGTAGGCACAGCGACTATATTAATCCATGACCTAGACCATGCACGTCTCTACGTTATGTTAGCACGGACTAGGATTACAACATTTATCCATCATTCTTTAGCAAATAATAATCCCTCCTAAAGTCTACATCTCAGTTCTCGTACATTATATCACTACTGACTCTAACTCCATCCCAAGAATATCTCTAGTGCTCATCATTTATAACAGTTACACGGGCTCATGTGCAATGGTGAGTTGCGGAGATGGCGCGCTCACGCTGGGTGATGGCACGATGGACAATGAGTGCGTATCACTGTGGCCAAATGGGTGTCAGTAGGTATCAAATGTGAACTCTTACTGACGATAGTGATCTATGAAGGTGATGCTAGATGTGCATCCCGACAATTGATAATATCATCTAATGGATGATGTGAAGTATGATATTATTTTGGATAGATTGATTCACTAAACTCGGCAGGTGAAGAGATTGTAGAGTACATGAACAGCGTCTGTGCACCAGCCTATATTTTCCACCCTTTCCTAATCCAGCAGCCCATCCTCCATTCCTCTGTCTCCTAACAACTCAACCGAGCCAGCACAACAGTTTGCAATTTCTCGAAATGTGCGTTTTTTTTGTTCATTAACGTTCTAGGTGAAGTAACTACCGTCGCACTCCTACTAGAGCTTGAGTACGAGTGTGGTCGGGCCGGATCAGGTTAACTGCCGTACAGTACAAATGCCTCGTCCCACCTAAATGACCGGAACCATGCCAAAATGCATCTATGTTTTGAACCATGACGAATTCAGCAGCCCAGAATTGAAAACAAGACAAAAACTTTCACGCGAAATCCCGCATTACAAAAGAAAAACTTATACAATCTCCCTTCCGTCGTTCCGCCTCAGCCACTAAGCGCCCGATCACATTGCAACCTTGAAATGGTTCAGTCAAGGAGAATGGCCTGATTAGAGGAGTAATAAATGGAAAGAAAAGTCATCATAGAAATTTGACAAAGGTATTAGAAAAAGATATGAAGGGAAATGATTTTGAGATGTGTGGCGTGATTGTTATTATTATTTTTTTTTTCTTTTATCAGGTACAAAGTACCCTCTGCTGAACCAGTAATGGGGATCCCATCACAAAATTAAAGAAACCCCAATTAGAATAGAAAAGATAAGTTGTATTTAAATAGTCTATCCTACATAGTTATAAACTCAAATAGGACATAAATAGATTATTATTATTATTACCAAGCGCCCGAGCCTCGATTCCAATTCCCTCTTTCCATGCCAAACCTTTGGGCGGACAGCTGGTCGGACTTTCTTTTTGTAATTTCTAGGTGTTGTAGTGCGCGCTAGAGCGTCGGGTAGTTCTGTAGGGACTGGGCCATCCAGCACGTGACATTAGTCACAAGCTGTGGACAGGCACGACGTTAAATTCAATCAAATCAAAATCAAATCAAAATCAAATCAAAATCAAATCAAAATCAAATCAAAATCAAATCAAATCAAATCAAATCAAATCAAATCAAATCAAAATCAAATCAAAATCAAATCAAAATCAAATCAAAATCAAATCAAAATCAAATCAAAATCAAATCAAAATCAAATCAAAATCAAATCAAAATCAAATCAAAATCAAATCAAAATCAAATCAAAATCAAATCAAAATCAAATCAAAATCAAATCAAAATCAAATCAAAATCAAATCAAAATCAAATCAAAATCAAATCAAAATCAAATCAAAATCAAATCAAAATCAAATCAAAATCAAATCAAAATCAAATCAAAATCAAATCAAAATCAAATCAAAATCAAATCAAAATCAAATCAAAATCAAATCAAAATCAAATCAAAATCAAATCAAAATCAAATCAAAATCAAATCAAAATCAAATCAAAATCAAATCAAAATCAAATCAAAATCAAATCAAAATCAAATCAAAATCAAATCAAAATCAAATCAAAATCAAATCAAAATCAAATCAAAATCAAATCTAATGAACATGGATAAAAATGACAGGGCTGACAAAGTTCTTCGACGAAATTCAAAGAGCCCATCAGATATTTCCAAGTGAAATTTTACGATCTGGTGTGGGGTTAGTGTTGGATAGAAGGATTTATTCCTATTTTCTTGTTCTGCGGGTGTAATTTCAAACTACTCGTAAAAAAAAAAGTAAATGAGCAGAAATATCTGGCTTGCAATAGATCCTCCACTGCCACCTAGTGACACCCACATTAGGAGCATATCCTCACAATTCTCTTGATATAATATTCCAGCTCCTGTACTGTTGGTGGGCTCAGCATCCAAGTCTTCTCCACTGGATAACCTTGATGAATCACTAAGAGGGACTAAACCTCGAGTAGAAATAAGCATATAATCACAGTCCTCTGTTTCTTACAATGAACAATGGTAGAGCTAGCCCTGCTCACGGGGGTACCCCCGCCTTTTGGAAATGAATCTTTCAGACGAAGATTTTTACTACGAGGCTCAATGGACCAAGTAAATCTATTCCTCAGGGAAGATTCTTTGTGCGAAACCACATTTTTAAGGGAGTGTAATTTGTCTTTTCCTATTTGTATGACCTTGTCTGAATTTCCCCATAAATCACGCTTTTTGCGGGAGGAATTTGATGAAACTTGGAGAAATGTGTAAATTTCCCGGCAGAGGGAAATTTACTACACTCAAATTGGAAATCAGAGTGACAGACGGCCTGTCAGGCTCTATTTTAGTTTCTGGGTGCTGTAGAGCACGCCAGGGCGTCAGATATTTCTTTCGGAACTAAGCTCTGCACTGTCACGACGTTCATTAAAATCAAATTGACAGAAATGTTATCTAAACCCATTGAATTAGCGACTTTCAAGGTTAACTGAATTCTTTAAAGCCTTAAATTTTCTTTACCGTAGTAGTGGGCGATCGCACAGGTGAGGGAGCTGATGATATGATCTTGGATATGTAGGGCTCAAATTGAGAGGCGTAAGTAAATAGATGGTGCCAGTGAGACACAAAGTATTTGCAAATTTCCTTGGTGAGGAGACAGAGGTTTGTCTGGACAGCTGGACTTGAAAAGATAAAATACATGCTAGATTCTAGGATGCATATCACTTGCATAGCGTAGAGTTCATCGAATGGATTTATGTCAGCCTCAGGCAGAAAGATCTCACTCTCTCAAGCTTCTCTAGGGTAAGGTGGCCACTTTTCTAATTTATTGTGTATTCAGCTATCTAGCCATTACACAATATTCACATAACCTTGAAATGCATAGCTATTGTAAAATTCGCATGATGCAATTTTTCTTCGCTGTGAACAGGTGTACATATATATACCATTTAGCCTCAATTTCTATCATAGCCTTCCAGGTAACTACGCGCAGTGGCAACTAGAATTGTTGAGGTTCGTGCTATTTCCAGCTAGCGCATACCACTTTTCAGTCAATAGTTGGCACTTCCAACTCAAAGTTTACACACGGAGCTTAGAGCAACGTCACAGGGAATTCTCATTACATCACGTACTATGTTAACAGATTTGATTACATCACAATAATAGCTATGAGATAAATGAAAACAAAATGTAACAAATTCATCGATATTGGAGATCGATTGACTTCAAAACTTAGCTTAGAATACACTATTGTGCGTTGAGCGTCAATACCCAAGTCGAGTAACCACAGCAAAACTCGGGACCGCACAGTATTTTATCTCGTAGCCCCATGAGTAATGGGAATGAGGTAATTTCTAGTCTTGACCTATCACAACCTAGTACAACAATCAACCTCAGTAAACGTATTCCCATTTTCTCGATAATAAATAATCCAACGAATTTCATATGATACGTTGAAAGTTATTTTATACTTGTAACGATCTTTAAATGCATGTGTTAGTGAGGGATAGACTTTTGGAAAGTTTAGCGGATATACTGACAATTTGAAGATCCACTACTGTCTGGCACGTCCACCTCCCATTGGTATAAAGCTTCATTAGCACTGCGCGCTAAAACTCCAGTGTACAACAGATCTTGTAGAACTTGATGTTCATTTGCACTTAACCCAGATATCCTCCTTTGAGCTGCTACAAATGCCATCCGAATGTTGTAGTCTCTGACCGTGACGCCATTACCGCATCGATAATTACCGAATTCAAGCTCAGAAACACATGATGGAAGCCAGATACCAAGGCAGATCAGGAGGCTGGAAGGGCGCATGCTGATAGAATACTGATCTGAGGAGATTTAGTTGAGACGATTTCCGCGAGGCGGATGAGATGTGAGGTGAAGTACCGCGTTAAAGTTTTGTTCAACGGATTCAAACGATGGATTATCGGCTTCATGAATCACTGAGTTGAGAGCAGCAGCTTTATACTTTTCACGATGGATTTTGATGGCCTTGATGGAGCATTTCAAGCCAAGCCCAAAGTTAAAAACTTATATGTCACGGCATAAGGGAGCTCAATGCCAAGGAAATTCTTGTTAAGCTGGAATTGTCGATGTCATCTTTTGGTTGGAGAGATTACTTTGGAGGCACATTTTTATTTCTATTACTCCAATTAGCCTATCTAACCCCAAGTCTAGATGTGACATGTAGCTTCTTTTTCCCAGAATAAGTGCTGACTGGGCCAGAGCAGATCCCAGCGTGCGAAATAGTCATGGTCTCAATATGACAATAAAACCAACCTGATCCTCTATGCCTACTGGCCAAGGATACCTATGCGACTAGTATATCTCCTTCGGTAGCCTTCATCAATATTTCTCACGATGGATCATACACTTGGAGGAGCCCTTGGCCCTTAATCATCTCTGTTGTGGACTCCAACGCACAAATCCGCTCTGTTGACTGTAGGCGGCCCTTGGGAAATTTAAATCTCAGGCCACACAAAGCTAATCGTCTGTAAAATATCTCTTTACTACGAGTCCCCTTAGGCGCCATTGCGGGGTTATTCCTTGACTATCATATCCTTGGGGAATCAGAATGAACTTTATTCGCAGGATCTTTCAGATATCAATTCCTGACAATCACCTCCCTCTAGCTAACAAAAAGAGGTCCGTTTGTGGATGTCGGTCAGCAGGGAAAAATGGCAAAAACCATTGAGGGCGGAGCTCCCATAACACCGATATCAAGACTCCATTCGCAGACGTAGCTATTATAAATTCACTGGTCACTCTAGCATTTGGTTGTTGTCATGTTACGTGGTTCGTAGGGCCATGGAGCGGCAAATATTCTAGTGATAAATCGGATACCCCAGATTGCTATACTCAAGCGCAGAAACCCCCTAAATCTAATTAGGGTCTCACATATAATCTGTTGAGAAAAGCCCCTCCCTAAAAGTGACTAGTCATGAAATAACGTGTAAGTTTACGAGATTGGCTAATTGTCATGTAAGTACATCCGTAGCTTATATAAAAAATAATGCAAAACCAAGAAACTCGCATGCCTCAATCAATATTGCTCTGATACACAAGTGTAGAACACCATGAACATCACCACCCCTGACGAATAGCTACCCATCTGAAGTTGCGGAGAGACAGCTCATCTGATCACTGCCAACTTGTGTATGTCTAGGAAATCACACTCAGTACTTCTAGCCTTCTTTTCACTCGTTACGTAGGTCTTCTAGAAACATCAAATAAGTCTTGACAGACTGTGGTTGCAACACGCAAGCAACGCCACAAGACAATTTAATGATTTCCAAGGGCATTACAACCCTAATGGCACTGAGCCAAATTGAGGGTGTTCCAATTGTAACCTTGCATATGCACTTATTGGAAGATTTGCCTGGTTCGAAAGGCAGACACGCTAGCTAAATCCCACCGACGTGCAAGGTTGCGCCTTCAAATCAGGCCATCCTGCTAATCGCAGGTAAAATCATAACACTCTGCATGCAGCTCGGAAATATTACTAGGAGATATATGTTGGCTTATACAACTCAGCTAACCGTCGTCCATGGGTATCTCTAAATGGGAGGATTGAATACCTCTGCTTACCGAGGCTGAGATTTAGCGCCCAGTGGATGTGAGTAGGGAGTACTGTAGCTGGACACACTGGAACCGGACCGACAAACTTCCATCTCAAGGGGGATTTACGTCCAAACTATCCACATTTTGCTTGAAAAATAAGCCCAAGCTTTGAAGTAGTTGCACCATCTGACTAGGGTTAGTAGTCTCATGTATTATCGCCTAGACCAGGAAGTCGCGCACGCAATGCTCTTCAAAGCTTTGTGTCGGAGGAAAAACATTGAACACTTGTTTCCAGTGCCCAAGAAGAATCCGGTGTGGAGGGCAAGACTGAACACCTGTACGCGGTGTCCTCTACGAACCTGAGAGTGAAATATTCTCCCAGAGCCAAGTTCAGTCAAATTTCGCAATATCAAAGAAGTTGGCCCACAAGGCAAAAATTCAAATTACTCCACTATGTCAATCTTTCACTCCCAAAGAGTCCGATTCTCAACTAAGCTTCATCAAGTCTACAAGTACGACCTAGTACATCCTTATTCCAATGACCACACCTCTCGTCGACTTTCTCTGGCCTCAGTTGACCACCAAATACACGCCCACGCCGATATTTATACCTGACGGAGGAAGCAAAGCGTGGCGCACAAATTTGGTAGATAGCTCTTTGGGATGGACGTGAGAGGGATCAGGGCAAGTTTACAAAATGATGCAGAAGAGGGATACATTCTCGACGGGCGTGAAATTTCGAACTTTGGCAAGAGTTTTACGAATTGAGCTTTGTGCGCGCCAAGACTTCGCTTGCGAGAGTGCAGCTCACACTATAAAAACAAGCCAAAGATGGAAGGTGTCGTGGTCCGCCTCCTGGTGGTGTTCTCTGGTATGGTTTGAGTAGCCTGGGCACCTACTCCACTTGGGAAGGAGACGCCTCAGACCATATTTCTCGCGGAGGAAAGTTGAAAGATGATGGAGGCATGTCTGGATAACTCAGGGCTTTTGAGACGTTCCCCTGGGTGGGTATTCACGGATGAGGGTTGACTTAGGGTGAAGGAAAAAGCCGCCATAATTTCGCAGTGGTACTTGCAAATGAAATCTGAGGCATGAGTGCTCCTCTTGTAATTGAGTCATCTTTTCTGTACTTTTCTTTGATATTGTGTCATAGCTAGATAGCTGCATACGCAATTAAAATCTGATGCAAAAGAAAGGCTTCGGTTGCGAGAGTGCAGGCGACACCAAAAACGCCGCCATGTTCGGATGGTATGGTGGTACATCGTCCAGGCCGGTCTGCCAAGTAGAGTCTGGATAGCTTGGACAAATATTCCACTTGAGGTAGTAGATCGCTGATTCAAATCCAGCAAAACACAACCACATTTCTCGCGGCGCCGGTATACATGGATGACGAAGGCATGCTTGGATAACCAAAGGTTTCGAAATTCCCTTTGGTGGGTACTAACGGAGGAGGGTCGACTGTTTGTGTAAGCGAACATACCTCATAGTGGTATTTGCAAATGAAATCCAGAGTATGAGTGTCTCTAACGTCAAAAGAGCCATCCCACAGGTATACATAGCACCGGTCATAGCTAGATAGCGGAATACACATTAAATGTTTAAAAAAAAAAGTTGTAGACTGAGTAGGGACTAAAATTTAATTATTATGAAGGAAATAATGAACCCTCAGTCATTGAGGTTGTAGAGCGCATTAATTCAAGTAACTACCGAAGTAAAAGTAAGTTCATAATTTGTAGTCACGTGTGTACCAACAACGTGGCCTATTTGATAGCCCAGATTATTCTAAATTCTAAAAATTGTATTTATAGCAGCTTTCAAAGGTCGTACTTGTTGAAATTGGTGCTTCCAATTATGGTAAAGACAGGGATGTGTAGAAGACACATTACTAATCTCCCATTAATTGTGAGATTAGTATTAATGCGCTTTGACGTAAATACCAACCACTAGATTTTATTTTTACAAAATATAGTTTATATAGCACTCTGTGTCCTAGTGGGAGTAATTAACAACTCTCCACAACAGATTTACAGACTCCTTTACTTTCCCACTCGCTTCACCAAGTGATACAATCTGTGCCTAACAGCCACAAGCTGTTGCAAACCAATCCGCTCAACAGTACTCACTTCCGCCCGTGCAACACTTCCAGTGTATTGCACCACACCAACAGCGATCCTACACCGTGAATCAAGGTTACAGCAACCGAAAATAGCTCTTGATGGCCGTGTGCTTACAGCTACAGTCCGACTACGCCGTCTAGATCCTCGACATCCGCTCTTACGCCGAGCTAACAGAGTTCTCAGTTTACAGCGTCCTACCTCTTGTTTTGCTCGGCGTGTACTGTCTCCTCCAAAATCAGAGCAAATCAATTCAATTGCCATGCCTCCCTGGAATCCACGTGAGTGCCGAGAAGCCGCACACTCCCGGGTCGCTGGACCGAACAGTGGCTCTATGTCACGGTTTCAGTACAACATGCTTGGGCGATCTTGTAGGTACAGTATATTAATTATAATTCTCTAGAGAGAGAATTCCTAGAGCTAGACTACAAATATATATACACTCTAAGATACTCCACTCCTATAAGGTTCCCCCTAAGACTAGAATAATATGGAATCTTCGAAGATTCCCTAGAAGACTCTCGATATGTCTGTCATCCTCATGAACCTTCAGTATACTTCCAGAAGGTTCATTAATAATCTTCTAAGCTCCGTGTATCCCGAGATCCATCCCGAAGATCCCCGAAGATTCCCCTGATGTCATTGCCTGCGCTAGCCAGCGTAGGCTACAGGAACTCTTAGGCTTAGCAGCCGTTACACTCTGTAGATGAAAACAGACAAGTCTTCCTTGATTTCCTCCATATTATTCCCTTTGGAGACATAATTATCTAGTCAGACGGCTCGAAGCAACTAAATGGCCCGGGAGACGCTGGCTTCATCGGCTACCAAGGTGGTGTACAAGTTCTACCCAAGAGTATCGCTCTTGGAAAGGGCGTCGAAGTTTTTGATGCGGAAGTGAAAGGCGCCCTAGAAGGGGCAAAATCTGTAGTAGCACTCCCAACGGCTAAATTCGCTACAGACCTCTAGATTTGTCTAGATAACTTAGAGGTTGCCACTCGACTCTTGTCTCGCTTTTCAGGGTCCTCACAAGCGCAATTTGATGAGCTCCTCACCTTGACACCCAAGTGGTAAGAACGCTCTCGGCTTGCCCACACCAGACGGGGCCAAATTGTTGTGATCCTAGTCTGTGCAAGCAAG